CTTGAGAGCCAGCAAAAGCAAGATAGACGCCGCAGCGAAATAGGAATATCCAGTAAACGTTTGACAAAATTAACAATCAAAAGCACAAACGGACAACAGCCAAAAATAGCCAATGAGCTAGCAATTTCCAATTGCCAGGAGACCAGCCGCAAGGCAGGCAAGTAAGACGGGGCCAGAAAGGGGGATGTCTACCCGTGACAAATCCCTAGTTCTGGCATTCCAGAGGCCAAGTGATTACCAAAAATCAAAAGCAGTCAGTATATGATACATAGAAGATAAAAATAAGAAAGCGTCCCAGTCTCCGTGAAGGGGATGAGGTCGTGAAACGCTGTAAAACAGACTTTCGGCGACGAGAAAAGAGAGTTGGAAGTTCGACTCCGAGTAGGTGATCATATCACGTGATGTAACTGGCAGTTCTCGGCTGCAAAGATTACCCGGATTGGAATGGCGGAGACTTGGCAGCCGTCGGTTTATTTGAGTTTGAACTTTGGACGAGCTTCGAAGCTAATAAGCAACAGCCAGAATCATCAAATACGCTGTACAAAACTATGTAGATAATCCACAGTAAATTCACGGGTGGCTCCCCTGAACTATTACTGGGTCTGCATATATTCCGTGCGCAGTAAACAAAAGCCCCGTCGAGCCTTGGGAGTCATGGACAGACATCTATCACAAGTGACTTCAACTAACTAGTTCACGAAGTACCGGCCGCATTAGTCATCAGGCTCCCTACGCAGCCACAAAACGCGGTTCCCCGACTGTATCTATCGGCCAAGTCAGCGAGGAGTTCGACGACGGGGTCAATATCAACTGCGGGTTGCGGTTATTCTTAGCCAGGCACCATCTATATTATCTGCTCTGGACTATCATTGACCATCCATATGGCATAGTACATGCCAAACCGCCCTCCTTTTCCTGTGCATTGACTTAATCGCTTTGCAGATGCTGCGTTTTTCCATCTGCTGGACCACCATGAAAGCTGAATCGCCCGACTCTCCGACTCCCTTCCTCTTCTCCTGAAGCCTTGTCTGGTTTCTTTTGTTTTTACAGATACATCCACTGTCACTCATTTCTTTTGTTAGAACAAGATACCCGAGATCTGATTACATCGGTTAAGATTTCCCCTCCTCCTTATAGGAGCAATGCCAGGACTACCATGTACGTTGTGAATCAGACGGGAAACGAATCCTTCTTGCCAGAAGTTGAGACAGCTTGCGCGCGTATTCGAGAAAAAGATAAATGTGTAAACAAAGTGGCAACTAATGAATGAGCTTCTGTCTCAAATTTTAGCCAGCATCGATTTGGATGAGTGTATTGAACGACTGTACCGGAAGGAGTTATTAGCAGAGTCGGTTATTGAGGCAATATGCGCCAAAGCGAAAGAACTGCTCATGAAAGAGAGCAATGTCGTCCACATCGCCGCGCCCGTTACTGTCGTAGGAGATATCCACGGCCAATTTTACGATATGATTGAGATCTTCAAAATTGGCGGCTTTTGTCCGAATACGAATTATCTATTTCTCGGTACGAACTTTTATTTACACTGGACTATCTGGCATGGAAATATAAATTTTCAGAAAGATTAACTTTTGTCCTATTTCCTCCCCCTTTCTTTTTCCTGTCGCAGGCGACTACGTCGACCGCGGCCTCTTCAGCGTGGAAACAATCTCGCTCCTTGTCTGCCTTAAACTTCGCTACCCGGCCCGAGTCCACCTCATCCGCGGAAACCACGAATCCCGTGGCGTCACCCAGTCCTACGGCTTCTACACCGAGTGCGCCCGCAAATACGGCAATGCCAACGTCTGGCACTACTTCACAGACATGTTCGACTTCCTCACCCTCAGTGTCGTCATCAACAATCAGATCTTCTGCGTGCACGGCGGCCTATCACCGTCCATCCACTCCATCGACCAGATCAAAATCATCGACCGGTTCCGCGAGATTCCACACGAGGGGCCCATGGCGGATCTCGTCTGGTCCGACCCCGATATGGAGCGTGATGAGTTTTCCCTTTCGCCCCGGGGTGCGGGGTACACCTTTGGCGCGCAGGTGGTGAAGAAGTTCCTCGAGGTGAACAATATGAATCATATTCTCCGTGCGCATCAGTTGTGTCAGGAAGGGTATCAGGTACTCTACGACGATCGGCTAAGTACTGTGTGGAGCGCGCCGAACTATTGCTACCGCTGTGGGAACCTGGCAAGTGTGCTTGAGGTCAGCGATACTGGGGAAAGGTATTTCAACATCTTCGATGCAGCGCCTGAGAATAACGATGTACACCGTAGCGAGCAGCAGGCGCAGCAGCAGAATAAAGATGGGCATAATCCTGTAACTGAATATTTCCTATGATACCCTAGGTGTATTTGCATTACCTTTCGATTTATATTTTATGTTCATATCATTCAAATGTTTCTTTTTCTTTTTCTTTTTTCTTTTTCGTTTTTTTCTTTTCCGTTTTTCCACTTCGCTATAAATAAAAAAGTCCGTGCAAATTTCCAAGCATGAGTTGGGCGTTTTGGTTTATACCTATTATAGAAAGAGCTGGGCCTGCTTGCGGGGGGAGAAAGCAAAGAGGTAAAACAC